ACAGTGCTGTATGCGGGAGATGGAGCCATGATGGTGAGAGAGAAAAGTGGAGACATGAGTTTGGGGGATAATAAAAAGACAAGGATTTCAGGCTGAGGAGTTCTGACGTGATTGGTAGGTAAAGGCAACCAACAAATGCTTTTGTTTTAGAGAGGCAGCTCTGGTAACTGCTGGGAGACACTAACAGTGGAGGCTAGGAAAGGAAACTGGGTGGAGAATCCTCACCACGTCAGAAAAGACCGTCAGCAGATGAACTGAGGATGGCAGCAGGAGCAGCAATACGAGGAAGACTGCTGTGCCTTCGCAGCACTAGTGTGCACAGCAGGCAAACACTGTCAGGGAAGAAACTCAGGGTGCAAAACAACATCAGCTGCTGAAGTCGAAAACCTGAACACCTTACATGTGCATCTTTGGCATGCATTATAGATTAGATGGTAGAAAGAAGTACCTGAAGCTACTCCAGGCTTAAAATGTGCTAACAAATGGCCCAGTCATCAAGATTTGAGATACAAAGAACAGAAGGTTTGGGGTAGAATAGTAAAACATCTGATTTCACAGAAGTCAAAACACGGAACCTACCTACATGTCGATCAGTTGATGAGTGGATAAAGAAAATGTCAATGTATACAGTGGAACGCTACTTAACCTTAAAAAGATGGGAGTTGTACTAGCTGTGATGGTGCACCTTGCAATCTTAACTTGCAGAAAGCAGAAGCAGCAGGATCATGGGTTAGAGGACAGACTGGGCCACAGAAATTTCTAGGCTAGTCTGAGCAGCACAGTAAGATTCCACCTAGAAAACCAAAAATAAATAAATAGTAACAAAAAGAAGTTTTGTCATTTGTGACATGGTAAACCCATGCACTCACTTATACTGGAATCTAAGAAAGCCGACCTTACAGCAATGTAACAATACAATGATTACCAAGGACTTGGCACAGCAAGTCAGAGAAAAGTTTAAGAATATTCCATGCATCTTTATTTCATTTTCCACAAAATGATGCAATATGTAGATTTCACTTTAAACAAAATATGCAGAATGAGGTTCTTCATTTTAGTAAGTATTTGAACATCAACAAGAATTGATTCGTAGGGCTGGGGAAATGGCTCAGTGGATAAGAAAGTTCGCTCTGCATGATGAAGACCTCAGTTTAAGCCAGTATCCACCTAAAATGCACATGCCTGTGACCCCACCATTGAGGGGCACAAGCATATCTTAGGAGCTCACTGGCCTGTCAACCTACCAAAACAGTGATTCTCTGGTTCAGCGTGACACCCTATCTCAAGACAATAAACACAAAGAGCAATAGAAAAAGACACCCGATGTGCAGTTCTGGCTTCTGTGTTTGCATGAACACCTACACACACATATGTGTATAACACACAGAGAGGCTGTTGAAGTTACCTGCATGGGCTACCACACCTAGCTAAAAACTATGATTTAAATCTTGCTGTTTTGTGACGAGGGTGTTTAAAAAGATAGTGCAGTGGTTTGAATGAGAACGGCACCCATAGGCTCCCATGTCTGAATGCTCGGTACCCAATTAGTGGAACTGTTTGAGAAGAATCAAGAGGTGTGGCCTTGTTAAGATAAGTGTGGCTCTAATGGAGGTACATTACTGGGGGTAGGCTTTGAGGTTTCAAAAGTTCCTGCCAGGATCTCTGGATTTCTGACTCTCTGCCCCATCCCCTCCCCTTCCTCCCTGACTATGAATCAGAATGTAAAGCTTTCAGCTACTCTCTAGCACTGTGCCTACTTACTTCCCACCATAATAACCACTGACGACTACACCACCACCACCACCCGCTGCCATTAAATAGATTCTTCTATAAGAGTTGCCTTGGTCATGGTGTTTCTTCACAACAAGAGAACAGTAACTAAGATAGATGGCAATTTTTTATAATCGCCATGATGTTGGAAAAGTCAATACAGAATTGCATATAACAGCATGATTTCAGTAACTAAAGCCAGGCATGGCACCTCACACCTGCAGTCACTGCTCTCTGGACGCATGAAAGGAGTACTCACGGGAGTTCTAGGCCAGCCTGGGCTACACATGGAGACTTTGTCTCAAAAAACTAACTGTGCTGGCCAGTCTTATGTCAGCTCCACACAAGGTGGCAAGATAGAGTCATTTGTGAAGAAAGAACTACAGTTGAGAAGATACCCACACACATCCACACACATCCACACACACACACACACACACACACATATACACACACACACACACACACACACACACACGTTTTGCCTGTGGACAAGCCTGTGGTAGATTTTCTTGATAGGTGACTGGTATGGGAGGGCTCACCTCACTGCAGGCCCTGCCACCCTTGTGCTGTGGTCCTGGGTACTATAAGAAAGCAGGCTGAACAAACCCGGACTTCCCTAGATAATGAACAAGCCATGATGAAATAAACTCTTTCCTCTCCAGGTTGCTTTTGACCACAGTGTTTTATCACAGCAACAGAAAACATAACTAAGACACCAAACAAACAAATAAACAAACAAACAAATCCTGTAATACTTTGCTCGTGTAGGACATGGGGCCAGGAGATAGCTCAGCAGTGAAGAGCATTTCTTACTCCTGTAGAGGATTCAGGTTCATTCTCAGAACCCTGTCTAATAATTTGTAGCTCTGATTCTAGGGCATCCAATACCCTCTTCTGACTCCACAGGGACTGTCTGCACATGGTACAGAGATACACATGCAGATAAAATACTCATAAACATAAAACAAAACAAAATATTCCTAAGGGAAAAAAAGTAGGATATTGAAAATTACTTTGTGGGTGGAGAGTGGGGCCTGACTTCAGTACGGTGCCCCAGCCTAACATCAACCTTGCAATCTCCTGTTTTAGCCTCTCAAGTGACTGGAATAATATTTGCCACCATGTCTGGCCCACATTTACTTTTAAAAATCTAAATTTTCTTTTTAAAATAGAAGTGACAGTGCAGAAATATGAAGTTTCACTCAAAATGGACTTAGAACACTGACAAAAGCAAAATCCAAGTTCTCTGCTAAGATTCTGAACTTCAGAAAAATAAAAATCTTCTGTGCATCAAAAGACATTATCAACAAAGCAAAAGGGTTACCGGTGGTGCTGGGATAATCGTTCTGTACACTATGTGAAGACATGTTGTTTTCCTCACCTGCCTAAGGCACCTTCTGATTGGGTTAATAAAGAGCTGAACGGCCGGTAACTAGACAGAAGAGGATAGGCGGGACTTCGGGGAAGAGATAGGAACTCTGGGAAAGAATCTTGAGGTGAGAGATTCGCCAGCCAGATGAGATGGCAGTCAGACATGGTACTGGGGAGAGGTGATGAGCCACGTGACAACATGTAGATTAATGTAAACAGGTTAATTTAAGTTTTAAGAGCTAGTCGGGAACAAGCCTAAGCTAAGGCCAAGCTCTCATAATCAATAAAAAGTCTCCGTGTCGTTATTCAGGAGCTGGCGGTCCAAAGAAAAACCTGCTGCTACACCTTGGTACTAGAGAGACAGCTCATCAGTCAAGAGCAGGTGCTGCTCTGGCAGAGGACCCAAATTCTGTTCCCAGCACCAGTATGGTGGCTACAACCACCTGTAGGGATCCAACACGCTCTTTTGGCTTCTGTGTGCATTACATGCATATGGTGCACATGGTGCAGATATACATGTAGGCCAAACACCCATACACAAAAAATAAAAAATAAATCTTAAAAAGAAAAGAGTACCCTACAGAAGAAAATATTTATAAAACCACACCATTTGACATGGGATTGCTACTGAGAATGCACAATTAACTCCTACAACTCATCACCAACAAGAAAAACAGATTCAAAAGTGGACAAAGAACTTGAATGGACTTTTCTCCAAAGATGATAAATAAATGCTAAATATCGAGTAAAGGGATGCTTGGCACTACTACCCACTGGGAAATCGCTAATCAGAATAAGGAGGTGGTGCCACCTAAAACACACCAGGACAACAGGCTTCCTGAAAAAATCAGTAAGTAGTGGTGAAGATGGGAAAAAAACAGAATTCTTGTGCTCTGCAGTTAGGAGCGCAAAATGGTACATTTTACAGAAAATAGCATTGCAATGCCACAAAAAATTAAACAGAATTATTTTATGACCCAGTATTTCTAGATGATGCGTGTACCCCAAAGAGGTGAATGCGGGGATTCTAGTAGGTATTTACACATCTCTGATCATAGCAGTGTCGTTCACAACATCAAAAGCAGATAAATGATGAATTGATAAGAAAAATGTAGTACGCACATGCAATGAAGGATGCATTTAACTTTAAAAAGGAAAGAAATTATGATATACACCACATGAATGAACCTTAAGAACTTCATGCAAAGTGAAATCAGTCCGTCACAAAAGGACATATGTTTCATAATTCTTGATAGAATGCACCTAGAGTGGTCAAATTCATAGAGATAAGATGCTAGATGGTGAATGCCAGGGACTATGAAAGGAAGGAATGTCAAGTTAGTATTTAATGGACACAATCAGTTTCATGTGGGAAATAAAATGTTCTGGAGGTCGATGGTGTTGGTGGCCATACAACACCAAAAATATTCTTAATGTAACAGAATTGTAAATTTTAAGTTTTATGTTATATATAAATAAAAATGCACCTGAGGGTTGAGATTTCTCAGTGGGTAGAGCACTTACCATCCAAGTGAGAAGACGAGAGTTTAGATATCCTCCGCAACCACATAAGTGTCACCTGAGCGTGGCAGTTGCCTGTAATGTCAAGCAGGCAGAGACTCGGGAAGAGATGAGGGATCCCTGGAGCAGGCTAGCTAGCAAGACTAGCCCAGTCAGTGAGAGGCCCTGACTCAGTAAATAAAGTGGATACCACTGAGGAAGACATTGAACTTCAACCTCTGGCTTCCACAAAGTACTCTGAGATGGATGAAGTATTGAAAATAGAACTTCAATCACCAGGAGGCAGACAGAAGCACACCACAGTTTTGGTGCACAGGGAGGAAGCCACGTCATACCTGGATCTCCAGCTCGGCGATGTGCTGCTGCAGCTCAGCCACGGCAGCCATGCTGTCAGCTTCCCGGAGTCTCACAGCCATGACTTCTTCCTTGTTCTACAGCACCAGGCAAAACACAATAAGAAGCCAGCTGAGTTTGGAACTGAGATTTTTCAGATTGTACAAAATATTAAGGTACAAAAGCTGCACATTAGTATTATCCATCAGTGTCTAAGATGGTATCTATAATGATGCAGTCAGCTATAAACACACACACCCAAAGGGATAAAAACAACTTCAAGTTCAAATCAGTTGTTGCCTCCTAATGAACCTGTGTGAAAATTATGAAAAAACTTTTGGGATTCAGAGTATTTGCTATCGAAACTGGGGATTATAAGCTTGTACTATTTTAAGTGAGACTATTCAAACTCGTTTACAGAGTAAAAATAATGTTGAGAATACAGATAATATTCAGATAGTTTATGTAAATGAAAAATAAAACAAGCTTTAAAAATTACTCATCAACAAATCATAAGCTTTAATTATATAAAACTTAATGAAAACAAATCTAATTTATGTAACTAAGGGACTGGCTTCTTTGAAAATGTTACAGTTGTTACTGAATTGTTACAGGGAATGTGACAAAGGACTAGGAGCTAGAGTAACAATCAGTACACTAATACAGTGACCAGGATCTGCAAAAGGCACATCAGAGTTAGTATCCTCGGTACACTTTACAGGGTACTAACAAACAAATACAAACTAAGTGAAAATCCCGTATCAGTCTACCCAGTCCTCTACTGTTCTGAGTATCCATTACTTAGAAAAACAAGTATCTTCATGGTCAAGTTCCACAAATACTTCCAAAGAACATTTTATTTTGCTAATAGGTGCCAAGACAATATTAAATTCAGAAATACTGTTATCAAAATGTTTAAAGAAAACTGGTGTTCATATAGAAAAGATTACATTTAGTTCTCTATTAAAGACAGATCACAAGGCAATGTGAAATCCTAAACAGTCTATCAGCTCTAGTTGTGACAAGTCATAGGGTACCTCATTGCATACCACTTTATCTTTATACTAGTCCAGCTGTATCTTTTAAAAGGGTCAATTCTTGAGTTAATATAATTGTCAGTACTGCCTACAGATTTCTTCAGTCTAAATTCTAACAGTCATGAATATTTATTAGGATGTAATTTCATCTCTGGATTTCAGTGACACTGATAAACCACTCAAGCTTCACTCTTGGTTTTTAATGACACCAGAACAAGTTGATGGAATTACAGCTTTATATGTACCACTGAAAGTCTTATTTCTCATAGGCTTGAATACATGAAGGGCACTGTAACTATTAAAGGAGCTATGCTAAAGATATGAGTAGTTCCTCTTAAAATATCACAACTCTCGCCAGTAATCTACTCTAAGGCTAAGACTACACGCATCTCTTTAGTTATTCTCACACACATTTATGTATGTACATCCATACTCCTCTTCTCCAATGTCCCCAACCATCTGTCCCTTTCATTAGCTAAAGCTACTATAAGCTCCTTTCATGAAAAAATTCAATTTATTTCAAATACTTGTAATGCTTTTTTGAACACAAAGCTTCATATAAACAAAAACTGATTAAAAGAGAGGAAATTGTACTCATTTTTCTTAATCTACCTGTACATACACGTTTCTCTTTCTCTGTTACCCAGAAAGTGTTATCAGTACTGACTGCCTGCTAATATGATGTGAATCAAGGGAGTGAGCTTCACCCTCTCCAATCTCCTGCATTTTCAGGTGAGACATCACAAGCTAAGTTTTAAAGAGACACTAGTCAAAAGAAGCATCAAAAAGTCACACTAGTAAATGCCAATGTAAGAAGACATTAACTTAACCAAATCCAAAGTTAAAAATGAGGTTTCTTCAATTCACCCTTTGAACAAGATGAGCTAATCTTGTCTGAAATTTTAATCTAGGTGTGGTACATGACTGTGATCCCAGCAATGAGAGGCAGAGGCAAAAGAATTAATATGATTTTTGAGGCTAGTTTGATCTACACAGCAAGCTCCAGGCTAGCCAGGGCCATATACTGAAAGCCTGTCTCAAAAAGACAAAATATGACCGGGTGGTGGTGGCACACGCCTTTAATCCCAGCACTCAGGAGGCAGAGGCAGGCGGATCTTTGTGAGTTCGAGGCCAGCCTGGTCTACAGAGCAAGATCCAGGAAAGGCGCAAAGCTACACAGAGAAACCCTGTCTCAAAAAAACAAAAAGACAAAATATGATCATGATAAATAAATATATAAAAGACATCATTACACTGACACTTACCTTGCATTCAATCTCTGCCTGTCTGCGCTTTGCCTCACTCAACTGGGTAAGCAACCCTTTGTTCTTCACAGAAAGAGAATGCACCTTCTCCTGAAGACTGTTCACCTCTTGTTCTGCTCTTCGAAGTTGGTTACTATTAATCTGGTTCTAATGAGAAATATAAATAGACTCACTATAGATGAGACCGGAAATTTTTAATAAATTTTTACTTATAAATCTTATACTTCAACAATCTATAAAATGTTATTTAAAATGTTTATTAAAAATGGAAAAAAGATATAAAAACAAATCCTCAGCTAAGTGTGTGGCACGAGAAAGCAGGATCAAAGAGTTTAAGGACAACCTGGGCAACACTGTGAATCTGAGGATAGCCCATACTACCCAGTAAGGCTCTGTCTCAAAAACTCTTTAAAACAAAAAAACTGAATTCTACAAAGAATATTAAAAATTCTTAATCAACATATCAGTCAGGCATGGTGACATCCATCTGTAATCCCAGTATTTGAAAAGAGGATGCAGGAGGACCAGGAGTTCTAGGCTAGCTTTGTCTCGACAGAGTTTGAGGTTAGCCTGGGCTACATGAGACCCTACTTCAAAACATTAAATACTTAAATAAGTAAAAATTTAAACCTAAATACACCATTTATACAAAAAAAAATCTATAAACTATAAGGACTTTCACATACAACCTAGAGACAGTTATTTCTGAAACACTGGGGATACACATGGGGAAATAAAGCAAAAAGTGAACTGTAAACTCTCTCCCATCACCCTATGAGTCATGTGTCCTACATTTCCCAATGTCCAGTATTGCTTCTTTTCATGGACACCTAGTGGGACTTCCTGCTTTACGTTTTGAGATAAGATCTCACTATATAACCTCAAACTCATGCTAATATTCCTGCTTCAGTGTCTGAGTGTTCAGCCACAGACTGCTTGTGAGTCTGGCTTTTTCCCTTGATGATTAAGAAAGTAACATCTCCAAGTCTATAGTTTTCTTGTCCATACAAAACTACTTGTTTTTTACTTGGATGTCTCCAGAACTAAATGATATGATACATGAACAGCAAATATGTGGCAAGATCTCTATGAACATATGTTCTCTGATAAGTTATTTAATCCTACCAAATTTCAGTATACTGGAAAAATAGGTAGACACTATCACTTGCCTTCTGGCTGTGTAAGGAAAGCTTATGAAAGGAATATTGCATGGGGGCTGGAGAGATGGCTCAGCAGTTAAGAGCGCTGACTGTTCTTCCAAAGGACCTAGGTTCAATTCCCAGCACCCACATGGCAGCTCACAACTGTCTGTAACCCCAGTTCCAGAGGATCTGACACCCTCACACAGACACACATGCAGACAAAACGCCAATGCACATAAAATAAAAATAAATAATTTTTTTAAAAAAGAAAGGAATATTGCAAAAAGAAGTTTACAGGCACAATGAATGCTCAGCTGGCATGTCATTTGATTCTTTCTGCCTCATTCTATGAAAAATGGCACTGCCTCCGGTGTTAATGGGGAAGAAAGTGGATAATTCTATGCATAGACTCTAAAACTTCCTACTCCTTCCAAACTTCTTGACTTTTTCTTATCTTCCTCCCATGCTCAGAAGAATACTTATCAAGTCTATCCCCTGTGAGTCTATTCTAATTTTTATTTAATGAATTCTGACTACAAATTAAATGGACTTCGTAGTACTGAACTGAAAATCAATATAACTGCTGATATTAAAAATTCAATGAGGGACTGGACAGATGGCTCAGTGGGTTAAATGCTTGTCATGTAAGACCATGAAGACTTGAGTTCGCATTTCTAGTATCCAAGTGAAGGCTGGACATGGCAACACCTATTTGTAACCCCAATGCTGGGGAGCTAACAGCCAGGGAGGACAGAGACAAGCACACCGCGAGAGCTCATTGGCATCTAGTCTAGCCAAGAGGGAGCTCTAGGTTCAAAAGGAGACCGGTCCCAAATAATAATGTGGAGAGTGATGATGAAGGAAGACACCCAAAGTCAATCCCTGGCCTCCACATGCACACTCAAACACATACAAACATGTGTATGTGCGTAATACACACATATTCACTGAAAGGATGAAAAACAAGATTTGGAATACTGGAAAATATCAGAGTTCCAGGAAAGTTCATAAGACACAGAAAAGAAAAGAAGATCCAAAATTTCAGGACAAAATGTTTTTAAAAAGCTGTAGTAAGGTATGTTAATATTTGAGAAAATTTTATTCTCCCCACAAAAAATATATGAGTCTTAGTTAGAGTTTCTATAGGTCTCTTGCTGTGAAGAGACACCATGATCATAGCAACTCTTATAAAGGAAAACATTTAATTAGGGCTCACTTATAGTTCTGAGATTTAGTCCAGGAAGCAAGGCAGCATGCAGGCAGACATGGTGTTAGAGAAGGAGCTGAGTTCTTACATCTTGACTCACAAGCAGCAGGAAGTGGTCTGTCTCACTGGGCATGGCTTGAGACCTCAGAGCCCGCCTCCACAGTGACACACTTCCTCCAGCAAGGCCGCACCCACTCCAACAAAGCAACACCTCCTCTTAGTACCACTCACTATGAGCTTATTGGTGCCAATTACATTCAAATTACCACAGTGAGCAAGGCCTAGTTATATAAGGCTGTAATACTGGCTACTCAGGTGATTGAAGTAGGAAGACCACAAATTCCAGGCCAACTTGGATTATAATGTGAAAGACAGCAAGCCCAGATGACTTAGTGAGATTATGCCTCAAAATAAGAAGAAAGCTGGATGGCAGCTCAGTGGTACAGCACTTGACTATCATGGATTTGATCTCCAATGCTACAAAAAAATAAACATATGGGTGTGAACCTACAGTTCAGGAAGCACATTTGATCCCAAGGATGCTAAAGGCAAATAAATCTTCACCAAGATACATTATAATAAGACTCAGAGTACTGAAGAAATAGGCAAATAAAGGAAAATACAGTGTATATGAAGGAAAGATAATGACAGCATTTTACCAGCAAATGTATATAATGATTTTTAAAAAATTTTTCAGCCTACAAAAGTTTACTCAATTAAGTGCTCATATAAGAGCAAAGGCACTTTCTTCGGGTCTCTAGCACTTCAGGAGCCATAGGTTACTGTTCAGACATGGCCAAGTCCAAGAACCACACCACACATAACCAATCCCAAAAATGGCACAGAAACCGCATCAAGAAAACCCCATGATAAAGATAACAATCTCTTAAGGGGGTCAACCCCAACTTCCTGAGGAACCTAAGTTTTGCCAAGAAGCACAACAAAAAGGCCCGAAGAAGATGCAGGCAAACAGTGCAAAGGCTACGAATGTGTGTGCAGAGGTCAAGGCCCTGTGAAGCCCAAGGTGGTTTTAAGCCCAAGATTCCACAGGACTCTAGCCGCAAACTCAGCCATCTTGCTTTCACTGCTCACCCCAAGCTTGGGAATCGGATTAGAAGCTACCAACCAAAGTACAAGGATTAAACCAAGGCCCAGGCCTCAGTTCCATCTTAGGCTCCCAGAGGTGCCCAGGCCCCTGTGAAGGCCCCATAGAAAAGGTTTCTGTCTGCCGCTGTGGAGACAGATGGACTGGTATGACACACCTACACACACACTATTTGCAGATGATCAGTGCTGTATGCTGTTTTTACAAATAAACGAGGCAAGATCTGTTTTTAAAGGAAAAAATGGAGTAAAGGCAACCTCAATTTAAGAAAGTGAAAGAAAGCCGAGTGCAGGGACACACACAATGATAATCCTAGCTACTGGGATGGATCCTGAGTTCGACAACAGCCTGGGCAACAAAACAGGACAGAGAAGAGAGAATAAAGAAAAGGGAGAGAGGCAAGAGGGAGGAGGGAAAGAAGGAAGAAAGGATACAGCAGTTGTACCAAGTTCACATGAGCACTGAGCAAGTGTCTAATCTAGAGGCTTAAAAGACGTCTACAAAATAATGTATAGTGCAGAAGAACACAGTAAATTCTGGGGGCCTTACTGCTTAAAATCAACATATAGTTATTGCCTTTAGAATTTGTTTAGCCAAGCAAGTATTTCCAATTTTTCAGGTAATAAACATTAATAGAAAATAATTACAGGGCTGCAGAGATGACTTGGCAGTTAAGAGCACTGGCTGTTCTTCCAGAGGATCTGGGTTTAATCCCAGCACCCACATGGAAGCTCACAACTGTCTGTAACTACAGGATCCAATACCTCACACAGATATACATACAGGCAAAACACCAATAAAAAAAATAAATTAATTTAAAAAATTCTAAAATTCAAACTAATACAGAGAAAGTAAAAGAAAAAAATTAAAACCAGGAAAGGAGAAAAAAAAATCAATGAAGAACAGAAACGGAAGGTACAAACCAACAAATAATGAGGACTTTTGATTGGGGATCAGAAGAGCTAGAATGCTGATTCCAACCTTCTGATTAAATAAGGGCAGGGATGGGATGGGGACCAAGACTGAACTCTAAGTTCTACCCAGAAGTCTCCTACTGAAGAAGGGAGGGGATTTTAGCTCTTACCAAGGCAGAAGCTGTAAAGAAAATTCAGCTAGAATAAACATCAGACTAATGGAGTCCACATGTTGGCCTAGAAAGATTCACAGATTCTCTTACACATTCCTTACAGAGGCTGCTGGCCAGTCTCAGAAATATATCCACAGAATAGGCTGAAGGGAGGGAAAGCAGCTACTGTAGGAAGAAGCACTGACCTTACCTATCTCTTCCAAGGAATGAAAACTTCATCTGGTACAGGACCAGCACGCACTGCTGTCTCTGGGGTTATAAAACACGTTGTATCTGAAAGAAGAGGCAGTAATATGTTCTGGACCAAGGACTACAGCCATTGGTGGGCAGAAGCATTAGAAGGCCAAACACCTCTGATACAAATGTAAATGTAAATGTAAAATGGAGGCTAAGGCCGAGGCTTTATCAGAAAATGGGAAATACCTTTGCCCCTCCAACTCCCAGCAACAAGTAATAGAGGGATACTGCTGGAGATAGTCCCAACTCCAGGGTGTGGTGCAGAAGGAAGTCATGAAGTTTCTGAGAAGAGCCCTCTGGGAAACCAGGCCTCCTTCTAAAAATGAGGTATTGCCAAAGGGATTTGAACCCTGCGGTGCCCTGTATACA